ACAACTGGACGGTACGGACTATAAGAGTTTTGATGGCTTTGCCAAACAAGTGGCCGATATTGTGGGCGACAGGGGTTTGGATACACTCATCAATAACGCCGGCATTTTTATCACTAAACGTTTGGATGACGTGACCGCCGATAATATGGTGACCAACTTTCAAGTCAATTCAGTGGCACCACTCATGTTAACTAAAGCTCTTTTGCCTGTGCTTAAGGTAAATTAATTACTTCCTAAATAATATTTCTATGATTGTATTAACACTAGCTAAATATTAGACTATTATAATAAATTATTTAAATTAATCTATTAAGCTCTCGGCAGCTACTAAACGCAAAATTACCATCGTCAACATCGGCGCCGGCCTGGGCTCCATAGCGACTATGCATAATAGGCCAACACTAATGTATTACCCTTATGTTGTGAGCAAAGCAGCGTTGAACATGATCAATAAATGCTTGGATGTTGATCTAGCTCCGCATGGAATTAGGTCGGTGGCTATTCACCCTGGTCACGTGGCCACAGATATGGGCACTGGCGTTGGTACTGGAATTGTTACTCGCGCACCAATTACACCAGAACATAGTGTGGCCATGGTGCTTCGTACGACAAATAACCTTTCGGACACTGATTATGGCAAATTGCTTAATTACAGTGGTGCTGTCATACCATTTTAATTGTTTTATAGAGCACTATATTAAAACTTTAAAATATAATTGTTTTGTTAAAAATATTTATAATAAAATTATTATAATTTTTTTATTAATGAAAGCATCTTATGAAATTATTTACTTTAATTTATGCTTACGTGGTAGAATTAGAAAATTAATCTTACTATCAAATAAAATTTAATAAGTGTTATAATTTGAATTTTTACATTTATAATTTTATATTATTTATTAATTAATCTAAAAATAAGCATGCATATTTGAAATATAGTGTCAATTTATAAGTATATTTGAAATTGTATTGTATTTACAGTATTGAAACTGTAGTTAAAAATAAGTTCTCT